GGTAGTGTGGTTAACTTGCGATCTCTGGGTGTGGTGTGGGCGGGTGCTGTTCGCAGCCAATCTCTTGGGCGGGTGCGGCAGGCTGTGTTGGATTGTGAGGTACCTTGCCGTTGGAGATGGCCTACGSAGGGAAGTTCACCTGCAATCCAAACAGCCGGACTTCGCGGCGTCTCGGCAGCTGATTGCACGTTCCACGATTGTTCGACGTTCTTTTGGTAGGCTGTCCGGCGTGACGTGCBTACGTGCGCCTCGGCCATCGCTCCTTGCGGCTGCTCGTCACACCCGCTACCTGGTTGATCCTGCCAGTAGTCATATGCTTGTCTCAAAGACTAAGCCATGCACGTCTGAGTGGGAACACTTTGCACTGTGWTTTTTTGGCCCTGTGGAACCGCCGCGGGAACCTGCCGCGCCCGGTCCCTACCGGTCAAAACGTTTTTGGGGGGTACCATCGCCTGACGGTTCGTGGAAAATCCTGGATACTGCCGTGTTTGTGTGATGACTAGGGTTTGAAGTTGACATCAACGGTGACGTGGCCTGCCTATGGGCGACCTATCGTCGCGTGGGTCCTGGAAACTGCCGAGCACTGTGACTTACGAGGGGAATGGGGGTGGATGTTGACGTTGACTATGACATGGCTAGCCCAAGGGCGGTCCGTCGTCGTAGTTGACTTAGGATTTGACCGATCCTCTCCTCCGTAATCGTGGGTGACGACGTCCGCCTTGTCGATTGGACGAGCGGCGTATGTCAGTACGTGTAGTGCCAGGGGAGCTAAATGATAACGGTGAGTATGGCGATGGCCCGGTTTTTTCGAATGACTTGAGCAATAACCAGTCGGGATTGTATTAGTGGGTGGGATTGCACTGACTTGCATGTGCGAGGAAACTCCTCGTACTAAGAGGCAAGATCAGGGGAACAGGAGGTGCGGATGGCTCGTTTTTTACCTGTGTTTTTTAGCACCTCGCTGACTGGCCGGCCCGAGTAAGAGTTTCCGTGTTGCCGCCTGACTAACTTGGTGAGTTGGGAGAAGTGCAGCGGTGCGGCTCGTGATTGGAAAAGAGGGGTTGAAAGATTTTTTGTTGTAAAAATAGCTATGGCGGGAATTATCCCAGATATACAGACTCAGAGACAGAACTTAATGCAGAAGCTCAGGAGAGCTTACTTGTCTTCTGTTCCACTTATGGAACCGGGACTTTTGTCTTTTGCGATCGAAGGAGGGGTAGCAATTACTAGACCAATCCCGGAGGTTAGCTACCTTTTGACTACCTATGCCCGCACTCATGCGGTTGTTCTGCGTCTTCCGGAAGTGGTAACGGGTTGGTYGCGAAGCATGAAGAAGGCGTGGYTGGKGGCATGCGAAGATCTCTGGCTTATGGGGAGGGGACCCTGGAGGGGAAGGATCGATGTTGAAGGCGCATTGGCTCTCGTCTACACAGCGCCTATGACAGAGCTAAGGGATTGGTTGCTGAATGAAAGGAAACTTGAGACGATCAAAGTTGGAGGTGAGATCTTGGATGTCTCCATTAAAGCATGGAGGTCGCCGACAGAGATTGAATTTCAACGCGAGGAAGAACGTCGGCGATGGCCATGGGTCAAGGTCTTTGCGACTCCAACTAATGTGGCGTCGTTGGTGCGCCCAACAGTGGAACAATTTTTTGGCGAGATAGTTTGCTCATCAAAGCATGCAGACGACGACCGGGAATATGAGAAGTTTGTAATCAAAGGGCCGCTAAAACCGAATGTCACGAAAGTGGGAGTGGCTACGGGCCCCTCCACCGTACACGATCTTYGCTATGTTACTAGCGAAACTCCATTTTGTGAGATTTGCTACACGCACGRCCACTTGGGGAAGGAGGGGCGATGCCTATCCAGAACAGAAACGGCTAGGGAATTACAGGAGAAAGAGATGCGAAGGAGACTGGATCCTATTCTAACCTCAAATTTTGCCGAAGAACAGAGGATGTGGAGTGAGGTGGAACTCAAATTCGATAAGGAGATTGTTTTGGAGGCAAGGACGGAGCGAGCTTCTAAAAATCAAATGGGAGGGGGCGACAAAGAAGGAAGGACGAGTGAGAGAAGGGAGAGAAGTTCTAGGAGAAACCGTCCAGCAACTTCTTATGATCACATGGACGTTGACGACATCAACCCRCGATGGCTCTTTGGGGACGACAAACGCAAGTATCGAGAAGGTTCGCACGATGAAGAAGGAAGGGACAAACGACAGTGCAGCCCGGCGAACCCAACTACTGTCATCAATGAAGAGCGACTGCAAGACAAGCATGTCGACCCAGCTTCTCACTCGAAAGATGGGCAAAACGTTAACGCAGACCAAGAGAAGGAAGCTGACGAAGACTCACAGGGCGAACCACTCATTGACAGGCGACAAAAGGGGAAAGAGGTGCAGCTTAATATGGGCTGTGACAAAGGGGTGCAAACCGAAGACATTCACGAGACACTTGCTGAACAGGAAGTGGCAGTGGACGGAGCTGGTGCAAGCGCTGCGGTCCACACTACCCAGGAAGTGGGCGAAG